TCTTTTCCCCTCCATGTCCCTTTTCCCACCCAGGTCCCTCCCTCCCTCCCCGCTCCTGTGATTGCTTTCTTCTCCCTCCCAAGTGGGATTGAGGCATAGTCACTTGAGCCCTTAGGCTTGTTAACCTTGAGTTCTGTGGATTGTATCCTGGGTATTCTGTACTGTCTCCATGATGATTCTAAGACCAGTAGTGACTTGAATTACACATGTATTTATCTTCTTTTAGGGAGAAGTGTTATACACCCTTGCTTCACTATTCCTATCCTGGACCCTGTGTTGTACATCATAAACTTCTGCTAATAGAAATTTTTAGAAATGAGGTCTTAGAGGAAACCTATTAAGCAACAGAACTTTTGTTTACAGTAGTCTTTCTTAATCCTTAGTAGCTTCTCATGGCTTCACTTAACCTTAGTGAACTATGGTTCTAAACTATTGATGGGAAATGCCATAAATAACTGATTTATATGATAAATAATTATTAATTTATTGTTGTTCTTCATTTGTTAGTTAAACATTATTCTAGGTATCAACCATAGGAAAAGAGTAATAGGTATGTACAGGATTCAGTAATGGCTTTGAGCTTTGACACCTACCAGGGTTTTTGAACATATTCTCTGAAGATAAGTGAGGAATTATTGTACTTAATATTTTAAAAAAGCATTTTAAGACACTCAAAAATTATAAATAATATTATGTGTCTACTAGCATATATTCAAACTATTAAATGCGTGAAGGAAAAGGAAAAACAATTAAAAATCTTTTTATTGTTTTGTTTTAGATCATCTTGCCTCTCTTCTATAGCAATCTGGAATCTTTGAAAGCATTCTTTTTCATGAAATATACCTGTGCTTTTAGTATTATTCTTTCAAGTCTATTGTCATTAGCCAAGTCTATGAAAAAAAATGATTATGTGGTTCTTTTTACAAAGACGGCATTACTGACTTGGACTTTGATTCTTAAAATTTGCAGTGACTGGCCAGAAAGGGGATGGTACCAAAGAGAGAGGATCGAGATGCACACTGGGCCACTGGGAGCTCAAACTCACCCTCAATGTAATTTTTACACTGTTTTTCTTCAACTGCGCTAACTAGCCAATACCTTGTCATTTAGGGTGACACATCTGCTAAGGAGTTTCTCATAAACACAGCCTCCTTCAAGTCCTCCCTGAATAAAGCTTATTCCCAGCCAAAGAACTCTCTGGGAGACATGTTAATGAACCTTTAAAATATTTTTATTTATTCTTTGAGAATTTCATCCAATGTATCTTTATTGTGTGGACTCTCTTCTTCAACTCCTACAAGGCCCCTCCCACTATTTATCCCTCTCAACCTCATGCATTCATTTTTTAATAACTCAGTGAGTCCAATTAGTGCCTCCCATGACTGTAGAGGCATAGAACCTCCACTTGAGCTTGGAGAAGCTACCAGAAGCCTTATCCAGGAAGAAAACCGGCTCACCCTCTCCAGCAGTCAACAACTGCTAATAGCTCTTGCCTAGGGCTTGTGCTTCAGGAGTCCACACCCCATCCAGGGTAATTTTGACTGACCATGCAAATCTTCTAATGGAGGGGCTTTCAGGGCCCAGGTGTTTTCTGAGCACTTCTTGAGCTTCAGATACATGAAATTTCCTTATTAGGTATTCCACCTGGTGTTGTTTTGCCCAGATAGTCATTGGCTTTGCTTACGCAGTGACTAGGTTCCATTTTTTTTAAATCCAGCTGAAGATATTTCTGTTCAGAGGGCTTGAGGACACAAAGGCAGAAGGGGGAACTGAATAGCCTGGGGGCATAACAACCGTCATAAGATCTCACGTACTCTTGGGCTGTTTTGAATCTGGCTCCCCTTCACACAGACTCAAACTATGCCCCAGGCCTTCCACAGTCACTGACCAGAGGTCTCTGGAGGCAAACTGCTAGAGTTGGAAACCAGGCTCCTCTAATTACTTACTACCTGTGAGGTTATAAACAAGTCAATTCTTCACTCTCTGCCTCAGTTTACCTAATAAAACTATGAAGATTATAAATGAATAAGTCAAGGAGATAATATGTGCAAAGACATCAGTGTGGTACATAATGGTAAATATTCAATAAAATTTAGTTATCAAAATAAATCAACAACTAAAGGTTTAAAAGGGCCAAGGATCTTACGAAAACAGAATGGACTGAAGCAAGTAAATATGAAAAACCATGGGACCTAGAATGTGGGCAGGGAGAGGATTTCTGGGTAAAACACAATCTGACAAATTCCTGGACTCTGGACAAAGTAGGATTACTTTTATGGAGGTCAAGGTCAGGGGGGAGGGAAGGAGGAAGGGAATGAAGGAGAGAGAGGGTGGAGAAACACGTGGGAAGGGGTTAGAGAAACTGCTGATTGTGGGGTGAGGGGAACAGAAGTGCTGAAGTTGGAAAACAGGTGCTCTGTCTCAAGATTGTGGTGTGAGCTGAGCCTCCTGTTCTGTTCCGCTGCTATCTGTTTACTTGCTGATGCAGTAGACAGGCTGGCTTTCTCCAAGTCAGCCTCCAAAATCCCCCTAATGCCATCTTAAAAGGCAAAGTGTTCACATTCACCCTTGCCTTCTTTATTTCATTGACATTTTTAACTTAAAAAAAAAAAAGGATAGGTTTCTCAGTGGAGTTCTGGTCAAACATCTAGGTTCTCCTTGCCACTCCACAGGAGTCCTTTCTAGACACATTAACTAGTCCTATGGAGTCAAGAAGCCCCAGTAGCTCTCCAGTATGCAACTGGATTCTCTTGCTTGGTCTGGATTTGCTTTCAGCCTCAGGGCATTTCCCAGCACCCCTGCAGACAACAATGTAGGTAAAAATGTCAAGGTGTGAACTTGTTTCCCCCTTAACAAAGAAAGATTCTCTCCCAGTAATCTTCAGAGTTTCTTTAACTGTATTTCTTGATGTCTCTGCCTTGGTGATTTCTTAAAACAAGCCATACATATAAAATTGTAGTTTTCTACAAACTAGTTAGATCTTCCTTTTTAAAGTTATGAAATGTTAAATTTCCAATTTCCACTTCATCAGCCACATAACTGAAATTGTTTTTAAAGAAGTAGGTTTTTGTATGGTAGCGTTGTCAAGATTTTAGTTCTTTGAAAGTTTAATTTTTGCAATGGTATAAATAACACTTGGTTAAAGACGAAGATTTGATTCAGAAAAATCAGGCTTGTTTTTTTTGGAGGTAGTGGTGGTTGGTTTATCCTATAACTGTTAACATAGAATCTTTAAAAAGCAAGACCGAGTTCCTTGGACAAACTGTAGCCATTCCAGAGTTCACCGAGCCTCCGAGATAAAGGATCGGAAAGAAGTCAAACTCCACCGTTGAAACAGACACAAAATAAACACAACCCACTAACATATAAGAAGAATAATTACAAAAGTTAGAAAGCTAGGTCAAAAATGACCAAAGGCCACTGGGAGGAATTATTCGTATAAATCTTCTTAGGATGGGTAACAAAATTTGTTCATTAAAAAAAGAAACAGGAAACAAATTCCTAATAGCATTCCGACCTGGAGTTCGGGTAAGCGAAGCACAGTTAAGCTAGCTCCGGGGAATGTAAGCAGTTTCAGAACGTCTTCTAAAGTGTTCTTTGTAGCGCACAAGAGCTTAGAATGCGGTTAGTTTTATGTGTTGGCTCCCCTTTTCTGTAAAGGCTTCAAGAGGCAACTTACTTAAGTCTAAATCACTGTAGACACCAAGTGTCAGCCTCCTTGCGCTTTGTGGGGAAACGGGGGCGCACAGCTGCGGAGCCCTTAAAAGTTTTACAATGAATGAGTGAATGAATGAAACCGAACTGGAATGTTGGGGACTAGAAATCAAGCAGAAACTTTCTGGGCTCACAGTGAGCTCAAAGCCAGCAAAGTTAGGGTGGGGACAGCTTGGGCTGCTGAGAGGAAGTCTGTGTTTCTTGCCCTAGACACCTGTTCTCAGGTACGGCTCCAAAATAGCAGCCTCCGCCAGATGCCAAATAGCCCCTGGGCTAGAGGAGGGCTGCAGATGCCTCCTGGGGATCCAAGGAACTTTGTCCCCTTTGCCTTGTTCCCGGTTCCTAACGACTAGGAAGGTGGGAGTTATGGCAGCCCTGGGGTCTCTGCTTCACCGTTTGCGTTAGGGGCACACCCAAGTCTGATCCCTAATCCTATGAGTAAATCATTTCATTCGCTTTCCTGCTTTTCCTTCTTCTCCAAGCAATGGCGCAATTAAATGACAGGGGATGAGAAAGAGAACGCAGATCCCTAGGAAAGTTACAGTGTTCCTTAAGGGTTGGGGGGTTGGGGGTGGGTGGGTGGGATGACGGTGCGGGTTGTTTGGACTGTGGCAGAGCCGTGGGGCCCAGGCTGGGAGCGGCGCAGAGCGGGACCGGTTTTCCGGGGCTGGCAGCTGCCTAGCAAAAAAGTTTCCTGTGGAACAGTGGCCGGCGGGGGCGGGGGCGCGGGCTGCGGGCTCAGCCCAGGACCCGGGGGCGGGGTGCGGGCGGCTAGAGGCTGGCCTGAAGACCGTTAGAGAGACTCCCTCTGCCCCGGGGCCCCCTGGCTCGCCTCCCTGCTGCGCTGCTGCCCACCTGGCGACGTGACGCTCCACCAATCCCCTTCGAGCTCCTCCGGGCCCCTTCGCCTTGCACCGCCCCCCTCCTCACCCTCAAAGGCGCACCCTGCCCCGGCCGCTCTGCGCTCTCGCCGCGGAGCACCCTTCTGGCTTCTTCGTCTCTCGGACGGACGGACGCTAGAGCTCTCTTCTCTTCCCCTTAGCCAAACTTACTTTCCCGCCTCCCGAAAAACTTCAGCTTCCCTCTTCCTCCTCCCGCTCGGCTCTCAGCTCTTTTCCTCTCCACTTCCCTCTCCTCGCCCCGAACCACAAACCCACCTCCCCATTCCTCTCTCCCATCCCCTGCTCCCTTCCCGGGACCCCCTGAACTCATCTTCCTCCTTCACCCCAGACCCAGTCCCAGCGCGCCTGCTGGACTCGGTCTCCTGCTCGGTTATTCTCGAAGCCATGGCAGGACCCGGGAGTTGGAGGGACAAGGAGGTGACAGATCTGGGCCAGTTGCCGGTAAGTAAAGGACTCCGGGCCATCGCCCCCCTTGTGAGCTTTTTTCTGTGGCTTTGAAAGCCCGGGGAATAGAGCCTACACCCTCCAGCAGCCTAGGCCAGGACTTCGACGGGCTGTGGCTTAGGATGGGCCACGGAAGCTGCTGTGCAGAATCATCATCCCTGAGCTCCTGGCTGAGTTGAAGGCCACAAAACTCGAAGGAACGGGGTGAGGTTGGGGAGAAAGAAGTGGGTCCTAAAAAGGGTGGGGCCTTTTCTAAATAGAGCCCGCTTTGTCTAGCAGCTGTCTAGCAGCGCATGGGTACCTGTAATAGAAGCATTCCCGGAAAGGACAAGTGGTGGACCACCCCACTTTCCTTCTTCTGCCAGCAGAGATCTCTACCTATGGGTGGAGCCCTCCCCCTCCCCCACCCCCACCATAAAGAAACGTAATGAGCACAGAAAATAGAAGCATAGGTATCACGCTGCTCTCACTTCGTAATAGCAGTTTCTAAAACTTTATTCTCACCAGGAGAAGGTTCTGGATTAAGTATTGCGGAGTGAAAAGAACTCGACGCCTCTTGGAAAGGAATGGAATTCTGTACATGCCTATTAATTTTTAAAAGTGTATTATCTCTCTTAGATAATGAAATATAGCTTGGTCCGTGGTTATTATGTGCGGGGTCTCCTTGTCCTCAGTGTCCAGTTGAAATTGATTGGTGGGCTATTAAAGCCATCGTAAACAACAGACACACTACTGTAGCACCACCGTTTATTTCAATGGCATCTGGTTTCTCGCTGATACTGGATCCCACCCAAATTCATTTTTCAAGTTCCCTTTTTAGATTGGCATTTCACTTGCACCCTCTCTTGAATGCAAAGGGCCCCTGGACTCTCCAAAGGAGAAATGAGTAGGCACTGGGCCGGAATGATCGCCAGACATGTGTAGTTCAGGGCAGTGGCCTCCTTGCCTTGAGAAAAGCTAAATATTAACCTTGAGGTTATAGGACTATTCAAAGTCATCTTGCCTTAATTAATTTTATGTATGTTTGGCATTTAAAGATATGTGTTGTTAATGATGGCAGATACTTGCCTCCCTAAAAGCGGGACACTCCCAAAGCCTCCCTTTATATTTTACATTAGAATGGTATGTGGTGAGGGGAGGTGAAGTACACGGGTCATATTTTAGCAAACTGTTATCAGTCATTAAAAGAACATATTTCAATACAAAATCGTTGAACAGCAAGTATTAGAATTACTGTTATTGCAACTTCATAAATTAAGGCCAAAGAATTTTTAAAATTAAACTCTTTTTCTTCCCAGATACACCTGAAATCACTTCTTTTCCAGGAGGTGTACACAAGATTTCTGGACTATGGAGACCTCAATTGGATTCCCTTCCACAGGAGCAGAATTTTTCCTATTCAGATTAGCAGTGATTTGATCCTAAATAAGACTGTAAAGCCAGTGAGTGAGCTTGTCCCCTCCTCAGCCTGCTCTGGGGGAAGGGTGAGGAGTGGTGCAAGCACACGTGAGCAAACTGAAATCAATTGCTTTTTAAAAATGACCAAGTTGAGGGATGAAAAAGACCTTATAGAAACGATAGCATGGGGAATTCCAAACCCACAAGGAACAACAAAGGAAAAAAGTAAAAAAAAAGTAAAGGTGTGATTAGGCCAAAGAATGGGTCTAAATTCCCTGGATTAGCTGACGTGGCCCTGGCTTTGGGATATTCTGATCTGAGGCGAGTCCATGAGATAAGCATGATCTTTATATTATAGTTCAGTAGAACATTAGTGTTCTCCAGATTGGGTGAGGGTGGTAGTGCTTACAAAAGAGCAAGATGAGATTGCCTTTTAATGTTGAGGCATATGGAAAATACTCAAAAACATAGGGTGCCAATGGTCTTTTCCCTCATTTTAAATCATCATGAAAGGTAGGATGAAGGAAAATTCTTCTATTTCAGAATTTTATAATAGATTCATTTTATGTACTATCTGAGCAAATCATAGGTAATTCTCCCCTTTCCCAGATTTAAATTCCAAGAAAATAAATATAGCTGGAGAGCAGCATGCTCGTCAGTATTTTCTTTATATCAAATGCTCAGATTTAAAGTCATGGTTCCTGCAGTCATTGAGGTATAGGAGAGTTTTTGTTTGGTTGACATTTAGCATATCCCGAGGACATCAAAAAAAAAAAAGGAATAGAGAAATTGATACTTAATTTAGTTTGCATTTTCATGACAGGGAGAGATGTTCAAGTAAAGAAAATGGCCTAGGCAGTGTCCCTTGTAGTAATTATTCTCAGCAGGACACATATGAAGGACAGAATATTGGCGTATGTCCCTCATAAGTGTAACAGTTCGAAAACAGCTAGATAATAAGAAGAGATTCAAACCTTGAACCATCATATTGATGAAAAGTATCTTGGAGGCCTGGGTGTGGCCTGCCCGAGCAGTAGATTGAGTGCTAGCTACCATGCAGAGTCCCTAGGTTCAATTCCCATACTATACAGGCACACATGG